GAGGGAAAGAAAATGTTTTCTGAAACTTCCTCTAGTCAGCTATATGCTATATTCTTTACAATTTGCATCAAACTGTGTACTGCGTACTTGAAGTAGTTGCAAGACATCAAGCATAACTATAACTGTAATTGCTTTTTTTTTTTTTTTTTTTTTTTTTTGCCAGTCTTGCTGCCAGCTCTACTAGATGAGAGGTAGAAAAAGAAGGAAGTTAGTCATATTATCTGACAGGACATTTCTTTTCAGTATATTGGGATATTTGTATATTTTTTTTCAGTATGATTGAATACTTTATGAACTATAAAACTGATATACTATATGAAATACCAAGATTCAGGAATGAGTTACCTCTGAAAATGTCGTGGGATTAAAATATGCTTGCTCATACTGTTTCTGCACATTTTAGTATATATATTTTGTAGTTTGATCTTGTGGGGTTTTTTTAATGTTTACACTATTCCTGTTTCTACCTATGTACTCAGCTGTGTGTGATAATGTATCAATATTATGCCAAGGGCTGCATTCAGCCACTTCTAGCTTTCTTGTTTAGCTTTGAAGTGCTTTGGGGGTCTTTCAGGTTCTACCAGTATGGTATGCCTTTTTATCCTGCTCTAGCTCTCTGATTTGAATTTTCTGTGCCTGTGTAGAGATAATGCAGGGTTCAAATTCCTGTCTTACATTGCAAAAAAATTAAAGTTACCAGGGATTAGCTCCTCTGTACTGCTTTCCACTGTTAGATGTGTTCTCTTACTTATGCTGTTGATAGCTGCGTAGGAATCAGGTACAGCTTATGCCAATTGCAATTTAGGTGCATGGAGTATTCTTAGCAGATAATGTGTTTGGCAGGAGGTGGCCACTGCATGTTTATTTCCTCATATCTGATTTTACTGTCTAATTTTTAAATTAGGCTTCACAGGCTGTAACAGTAGGCTTTATGTCATGTAGCTAACACTAAAAATTTGCTGTAAGAATCTCCTTGAAATATATGATTCATCTGACAAGAGAAATATTGCTAGAGCAGTATTTATGCTCTTCCCCCCCCACTCAATACAAGAGCAGTAAATATAGTTAAAGCAAGACTAGAAAATACTTTTTTTTTAACTAGAATGAAGAACAAATAAAACCCCTGATTTCCAGCTTTCTTCCATGTTTGGAAAATTGGGAATGGAGTCCAAGGTTTACACTTGATTTCTTCTGTGTAATCAGTTTTGATCAAATGTATGGGTGTCACCATCAGATTTTGAGAAAATTCTGATCTGACTCCAAAGTAATCTCTGACTTTTGTCCAGGGTTTCATTTCATTTCAGTGTCAGTATTTTACTAACACACCTAGGCTAAAGAAACTGAGACTTAATAACCCAGTATTGGACATAAGTGCAAGAATAAATAATTGTTGAGTTACTTAAGATTTATACTGGATAGTGTGACTGTAAGGAAAGAAAGAGGTCTGAAGTAATCAGAAACCTGATTAATACTGTTGACTCTGTTGTAAGTTTATGTAAAGATGGTTTGTTTTCTGAAATAAGCTGCATCTTGCAGAGTTAGGCCAGAATGGGCTGCCTGGGTCAGTGGCTCTGTGATACAAGTCTTGTGGTACAAGACACCGTGTCTAGCTTGAATCCTTTTCTCTCAAGTGGATTAATGTGCAACATCCATACGGAGCATTAAGATGGCAGTTTTGGCTTAATGCTTATCATGCATTCTGCTGTCAGTCCTCTCTTCAGTAGCATGTCCTAACAAAATCCAGATCCAATTAAAATCTCTAAACAGCAGCCTCTCTTTGTAAGGAAGATACCTTTTAAGGATAACAAGTGACATTTCCTGCCTTTTCTCCTTTCATCCCCTTTGAAGTAAATGACATAACATGAAAAGATTTTGATGTAAAGCAGTATGAATTACTATATAAGCAGCATGAATAAGTATATAAAGCAGAAATATATATTTCAAGGGCAGGGAATCTTTCAGCTGTTGTCTCGTATAGATGAAATAGACTATATGATAGTTCCATTTTGGTGTAGTCCACTTATATGTTCCTAAAATTTTTAGCAATATCTTGTGGCATTTTCTTAACGCTATCAGAAAGCTTATTACATATACAAAAAGGCAGGTATTGATCTTTCCATATTATATTGTTGTCATTCCCATAGGTCTCATTTGTTGTATAGAGTTATTTATTTACATAGTAGCAATTCTGAATATGGAAACATTGGTAATAGTTTATCTCTGATTTCTGTGTCATAGAACCCTGCTGGCCTTAGGCTGCCATGTTGGAATTGCTGATGAACGTGCTGAAGAAAAAGTGAAAAAAATGAAACTTCCAAAGAAGTAAGTTGAAATTCAAATGCATCTCTTTGTTAGGCAGGGAGAGTTAAGAGCACTGTATTCTAACAATTTGATATTTATATTGCTAGTTTTATGAGTACTTAGGTATGTATGCATATGAATTTTCAGAAATTGACACGCACCTTCATCCACACTTCTTGTTTACCATCTGATGTGCAGACAAAGTTTAGGTTTTCCATGATTCATTGAAATGTCAGACACTGATTGTTACATAGTTCTTTATGTATGCAGAGTACTGCGGAAACTTGATAAAGAAATTTTACAGCAAACTTGTCAATATATTTCACCATGTTGCAAATATTTAAAGGTAACTCTTTTGAAAGTTCTAGAATGGCCATCTAGTGAGTTGAAGTGGAGGGAACTGGTATAGCCACCTGACTTTTTCCTGCTTTTATATTGAAACAGCTGTCGCTATCGAAGCTTTTATATGTACAACATAACACTTGTGCAGGGGAGTGTGACAGGAAAGAACACAGTAATTGCCTGCCTGACAAATGTATTAATTCTGTATGATTCACTATTTCCATTACTGACTGGTTTTACTCATCTCACTGAGGAGCTACCTGAGGAGTTGTAACTGTGAGGGCAGTTAGCTAGTGTGTGGGAGATGGCAGCACAACTGCCAAATGCTTGCTTAATTCTGTAATAGAAATTTGCTGATTGGTAACTATATGAATGGTTGATTTTTGGATTGATGTTCTTGAATTGTTGTTTTCAGACTTAAGCATTTTTTTTTAAATGTAATTTTGAAGGACGATCCAACCTCATGTTTATAGATGATAATCCTCCTTAAATACTTGCTTGTTTTCAATTATTGTTTTCAACTAATAATTAGTTTAAATGGGTTTTAGAATAGTTATCACATAAGGGAATTAATTAAGATTTGTGAAGTATTTGAATATTTTAGAATATAAATGGGGATAAATACTGTTTCTTTTTCTGTATTTCTCTCTGTCAATCCAAATAAAGAAAATACAAGAAAATGACAAAGTTGTTTAGAAAATAATTAGACAATTATTTAAACTAGCCATTCTTTAAACACCCCAGTGCGCATAATTTCAGTGAAAGTTGTTTATTTTCCACAGACTTCTTTTGTTATGACCAAAATAGCACTTTGTTTTGTCAGTATGCTTGAGGAGAAATACTCCAAGGATACTCAGGGCATATCTAGCAGCTCTGGCCTAGTCTCTCCTGGGGCTGCAGGGAAGAACCAGTTCTGGCATCTGAAGTGCCTCTTCCCTCTCCCCCCCTCCTCTGGCCTTGGTTTTTGCAAGCTTGTTTTCCACACTTTTTTCCTCACTCATCTCTGCCTGTGCAGCATTTTGTCCTTTCTTAAAAAATGTTTTCCCAGAGGAGCCAGTAGCTTGGCTGAGGGTCTCATCTTTGGCCAGCAGCGGATCCCTTTTGGAGCCGGCTGTTCCCCCAGCATGGGGCAACCCTGGCCTCTCCTCACAGAGGCTGCCCTGCAGCCCCCCATGCCAGCACCTGGGCATGGACACCCAGTACAGCCCTTTGTCTGCCCTATGCTTTGCTTTTCCTGCTCCCCTTTCCCTCCATGTTCCCTCATCAGCTGAGGTAAGGGAGGCAACGTCCACCACCATGGTGATGCTGCATAGTGTTGTAGGTTTTTGTCATAAATTTAGTAACTTCTGATGTGCTGCATCCATCACCATATACATGATGTCCTTTGTTGAAGAAAGTTTGGTCATAAGTAAAGTGGGAGATGACTATAATTAGTTTGATGGGAACAACTTCATAAAAGTAAACAACACTTCATTCTTAGGAGCACTAAAAATAGTGAGGAAGATTCCTCTCTGTTCTGAAGTCATGCTTACATTTTAAACATTTGCTCCTATGATTTGAAGGATAGTTAAGGAAAGAAGTATTATAAAGACAAACTTTTATTAGATGGACTTCATGTGTGATATTGAGTAAGCCAGGTAACCTGCTCTGTATCTCACATCCTTATATGTAATAGGAAGAATGCATTTTCTTGCTTCAGTTGGTGGTAGATAAGTATTGTGAAGTGCTCAGATGTAACAATAATAGTGTTCATATAAGTATTTAGGTAAGCAACATCTTAATCTACTGCTTTAAATATGTTAAAGTACTAAAATACTTTGAAAACAATTTTAGTTCAGACCATTTTCGGTACCTTTCATTACCAACTACTTCATCCCATTGAGATGCAATTATCTTGAAATAAAACCAAATATTAGTGCATTGTTATTCTTTAGGTTCAGAGACATTATTTTTATAGTTATATTGCATACATGTCACTTCTTCCCTTTGCAGTTTCTATTATTTTTTTCTTACTCAAAAGTAACTGCAAGTTCTATTTTGTTTGACAGCTACCAGTTGCTGAGTGGATATAAGCCTGCTCCCATGGATCTGAGTTTTATCAAACTGACCCCCTCTCAAGAAGCCATGGTGGATAAACTAGCAGAGAATGCTCACAATGTGTGGGCAAGGGATCGTATAAGGCAAGGCTGGACGTACGGTATCCAGCAGGTAAGTGCTAACTTCAGTCACTTGGAAAGGCACTTATCTATTGAGATATTTCAGAGTTAAATGAGAATAATGGGGATACAAAAGCAGGAAGAAGCAGCTAATGAATGCAAGTCTGTCAGTCAAAGAAAGCAAAAATACATAATTAAAGCAATCCTGCTAAATCTTCTATCAGTATGAGACTCTTCTTTTACAAACAGTATTAAAAAAATCGTGGAATATTCTTGTATGCTATCTAGATCTCAGGATGAGAAAATTGCATGCAGGAAGCTAATACACTGTAGTATTTTAGGAAATGTAAATATTGACTTTCAGTAGGGGAATAATTTAAATGTTTGTAGTCCCCGGAATTGATTAATTTTATTTATCCAGGAAAATCAGAATATAAACGTCTAGTAATCACTTTGCTAATATGTTGTATTTTTGGCAGAGGCCATGTTTAACTGAGAATAGTTAAGTCAGCCTCCAAGTTCCAGTCCTGCTTTAGAAGTGACTAGGAATGGTATGTGGTGGGTATCACAACGTGTTGTAAGGGAGGGGAGCAAAACTTATGCACGGTGGATTGTTAACAGCAAGAGTCAGGGTCTTTGTTTTCTTTAAAAAAAAATATTTGGTATACACTGAGCCTAATTTATTATTTTTCAAGTCAGCTACTATATACATTTTCCCTTAGGAGTCTTATTTTCTATTCTTTTTGTGATTATTTATGAATTTTATACAAAGAAATGTCTTTACTTCTGTTATTAAATGTGTGGTAGCATATCACAGTGAAATTTTAGGAAAATTCACCCCTTGGGAAAAAAGATGAGTTTTCATGCTTTTCTGCTGAGCATAAAAGATCATTATTTTTGCAAAAATGAGAAACAGCTGTTTTGTAGGTATATGCTCTTTCCTGCCTACAAACGGTGTTTTTGTTTTTGACAAAAAAATCAAGTTATACATTTCAGTTCTGCACATTTCAAACTTAAATTCACCTCATCACACACTGACAAAGTGCATTTATGTGACAAAATATATGCTACATAGCATTTCAGCATTGTCCATTATAGTATCTTACTATAAAGCTCCCATTTTGGTATTTTGTAAACTATTTAGGAGATCTACATTCTGTATTTGGGTCTAGGCAGACCAAAAGAGCCAATTCTTGTGTTTGCAGACTGCAGTGTATATAATATCCGCTACTAGATGGACACTGAAGATAATTCAGTGTTGGTGCAACTTCCCTGCTTACAACAGGATTAAATTTTCCCCTAATACTGCATCTTTGAAGGTGGCCCTTTGAAGTGCTGTTAACATTTCTGATAGAATATTAATCATGAAAAGTGTTGGAAGTGATGATCCTCTGTTAGGTAGTGAAGCAGATTAGCTCATATTGACCTCAATAATTCAATCCTATGTTCATGAAGGCAATGCACAATTCGTTTCTAGAATGAGAGTATATATGCCTCTAAATGCTCAAAATAAATATTTCTGATGTATTAAAGAATGCACTCAAGAATTTACACCATGCTTTCCATATTTTTTGTTCTCCCAAAAACCAAGCATTTTCAACACAGGGCCTTGCCAATCAGGAGTTTTTAAATGAATGAAAGTTGAGAAATAGTTACAGCTTTGACAGAACCCTGACATATCCCCAAATTAAATTTAGTTTTGCAACAGAATTTATTGGTTAAGATGAAGTTAAGAAGCTTCTGTAATGCAATGCATCTCTTAGCTAACTATGTGTCTAACTAGCATTGGGAAAATTTAAACCCACAACTTATATGCGGTAAATAAAGTTTCCTAGATCTTGAAGACAATTTAACCTACTTTGTGTATCTGTATATCTTTGGAAAAAAACGCAAATAATTTTGCCATATTTATTGGGCTGAATTTGCAGTTAAACTATATATTTTCTGAATTAGTGAGGTATTAAGAAAGGCAGTTAAATGATGCTGTCAAAGACTTTATCGGTGTTACTGGGTTTGGAATGATAATAGTGGCAGTGAGGGGCAATAAGAAAAATGTTTATCCTTTACAGCTATGCAATGTGTTTATATACTGTTTTTATGTGTGTTTTGATGTGCCTGTTGATATAGAAAGTTCTGCTTTTGAAGAGGTGTTGATGTGATAGTAACCAATCATTAGTTTTATTGTGGTTACCAAAAGACAGTGGACTTGCCCCAGGCTACAACTTTGGTTTAAAAATATGAAATAAAAACATTGAGTAGACAAATCTAGTATGGGATGTAACCCAGAATAAAACACTTCAGCTTAGTGTCAGAAACATCGTGAAGCCTGTCTTAGGTTCTCAGCACTGTGCTTGGGGAAAGAGACTGACCTTACTGTTGAGTCTAAAACACTGTGGCCCTGTGAAGAGAGGGAAAGAAGAGGAAGGACTGTGTGATCTACTCACGGAACAGCTCTCTGTATTTTATTTCCTGACTCTTAAAATTCTGTCCTGAGGGCCAGCCTTGGAACTCAGGCTTCCCCTAGACTCCCTTCCTAATAAATGCTCTGCTCAATGGATGAAAAAGCTCAACATACAAGTTAAATCTGCACTCACTTATTAAAATCTATAATCTCGTATGAGAAAACTTGTGGAAGGTAGAGATATAGTTTTAAACCCCTTAGTCTTGTAATTACTGAACTGTGCATTACCCATTTAAACGAATGTTTTAAAAATTGACACCTGTATCCTCAAAGATATCTAATAGGACAAAGAGGAATTAGGTATCTAGATTCATTTTGATGGCCAAGGACAAGTTGTTATTTAAAGAGGTTATCCCTATTACTTAGACCTGCTAAGTTTTAAAATAAAATGATAGCCCCTTGTTAGGTTTTCAGAGATGTTTTAAGAAGTCAGTGTGAATCATGATCTGATTTTGACTACCAGACTCTCTGAAAGAGACTTAGAGAAATGCTTCTACTCTAAATCTTGACTGAGCTTAGGTGTATGATCAGCATTGAACTGTTCTTTACCAAGACAAAGACAGTTATGGGTATGCAAAGAACCTGGAGAATTTAAAAGTAAAAAGCTTAAGTGCCTATGAAACTGATCACATTCAGGGTTGGAAAGACACTTAATCAGAGTTTTGCAGTCTTGGCTGCTTCTGCTTTAAACATTCACATATTTTATTGGGTCTGATTCATTCAAACCAATTGAAGACTTTTGTGTGTTGAGTGAAGAACTGTTGTTGAGAATATAACACAATGGTGCAGTGAATAGTGTCACAGTTATGCTTTCAACAGGAGTGATTGTTAAAGATCATCAAGAGCTCAGGAATATTCATGACCTTCAGGACACAGATCAACAAGATTATCGATATACTGTACTCTCTTATTCTTGGGAGACAAATTACAGTAGTCTCAAGTACGATTTCTCACCAATAGCATGTCCTGTAGAAGCTTCATGCTTGGAGTGTTGAAGTTTATTTCCTCTTAATTCAGTTATCTTTCTCAAATAATTAAGTATATTTTCTCCAGCTGAGTTCCAATAGTGCTTACAAGTCATTAAAAGTCAAAAGAAGAGAGCAGAAGAACAAGGTGCTCCTTTCTGAGTGAAGTGCAAAGATGCTTCTCATTTAGCTGACATACATATCACATGGCAATCTGCTAGCTGTTGTCCACACTGCTATGTGCTTCTGCTTGACTCCAAAAATGGATTCGTTTCATGGGCTATATTTTGTCATCCCATCATATTACTGTGACATGTTACAGTACTTTAATAAAGTGACATGATGTTATGCTGTATAGTACTATAAACAGATCTTGCAGAGCTATGAAATAGTTTCCTAAGGGAAGGAAGCTTACGGCGGTTTGAAAGTAGATGAATTAATCACTGGGAAATATGTTATAAACAGCAGTCATGCTGTGGCTGTAGGATGGATTAGATGATTTTGTAGGTCTGTTCTATCATAAATGCTTCATAATTTGGGGATTATATAATATGAAAAAATTAAAGGGATACTGTCAAGTAGTTCATGTATAAACCATTTCTTTCCTTCTATAATCTGCTGAGGAAAATGCCTTCCAAGTTCTAGATTTTTCTTCTTCTAAATCCACCATTGCTTGTCAGGATTTTTTCTTAGCATGAAGATATGTGCATGACTACACACAGTATTTTTGTTCTGCTGCTGCAGAGCCAACCAGCCAGCCAGCAGAGGGAGCACGAGTTAACTAATAAATCCTGTTCCCAGAACAGTGCTGACAGCTATGATGACACTGATCATAAACAAGTAAGTATTTTTTTAGTAGAACAGACTTTCAGTAGCTTATTGCTCCATGAAAGGAGCAAGAAGGAACAAAAAAGGTAGGAAAAATACATATTTCTGCTTAAAAGAATGTAATAATTAACAGCGGTAAGTGGAAAACCAAGCACAAAATCTGTATGAAAATACTTGACAGTGTCCCTTTAAGGGAAAATGTGGTTGCCAGCGGGTTGTTCTTCTCGTAACTGGGAAAATGGTAAATTATCAAAGACAGATAATGGCAATGAAAGATCCAGACAAATATAGCCTTGGTGTAAGTAAATTAAATTAATAACATTTGTGCTATGAGAGAGAGGGCTTTTTTTTCCCATTTTTTTCTTGTTTTTTTCTTTTTTTTAACATGTACGGATTTTGATATTATGTCCTATCATAATTACCTGAGTTTTTTGTGTGGGCATTTTAAATGAGTTTGTCATAACAAGCTGATTGAAAAATAGCACTGAAGTATAAAAGGATGTATTTGTGACTAAATCTTCACCATCAAATGGAAACTATTCAGACCTCACATAATTTATCCATGAACTTGAACTATTGGTTTACGTTCATAAAACTGTGATGTCGTGTGTACTGAAGAATCCCAACTTCTATATAAGTAAGGAAAAGATAGAAAGGGAGAGAAAAAGAGTCGAGCTAGGAGATCAAAAAGCAAATGAAAATAATTTCAAGTATATTAGCCACCTCCTTCCCCTTCCTGAATACATGGCTTTTAGGTCTCCCCACTGGTTGTGGGGGTCACAACCAAAGATTCTGACTTTCAAATTTTGCTTATATGCATTGTCACATATGCAGATAGGTTAGTCAAAGTGTGACTGTCTTTTTCTTTATGTTATATTGTGTCTTGTAGCTTAATAACCTAACAATCAAACCCTGTCATTTATATTGAGGAAAAAAATATTAGAAAACCCCCACAGCTTTAACAATTGATTAGAAAAATCAGCAACGTAAAAAGTTCATCCCACTATGTGAAGAGCATCTTAAAAAAGATGCTCTGCACTTCCCGTCTTAGGATAATTAGCCAGGACTGTGAATCAATTCTCAAATCTGATTGGTCTTTTTAAGTCAGAATCTTACTTTTTTTAGATTTTTGTAGAAAGCATATGAAATCGCTATTTGATCAGGAGCTGGTCTTAGACTGCCTCGTGCTGCAATGCAAGAGAAACACTGTTCTGGAAATTCAGAGAAGGAAATATGGATGTATGAGAAAAATAATAAGTTGAAAGCTTGTCACTTCTTTTGCCATTAAATATACATTAAAAAGAATCTTGTCCTTGTGAAAATTACTTATGTTACCTCACTTTCACATTTTACCTTATTTATTAATGATATGTTAGTTCCTTCCATTTATAGTCAGGGCACATTCTGCGAAACACTCCATAAGGGAATAATCCTTGGTGAAGATGGTAGAAGCTGTGCACATATTTCAAAGGATACACATACTTCTAAGGACAGAACTCAGCTGCTAGTATGCTAAGTTAGGAACACAACTTTTGCTTCGGGTGGATACGTTTAGGATATTTGTTAGCATTGACAAGAATATGGCTTAGTGAGGACTTTATTGTGCTTTCCAGTTCTAATGACTCTGGAATTTTGAAGTGACTTAGTAAATACCAATTTAGAATTCTATTTTTCCTTTCCCCCCTTTATAAAATAACTTTAATTGTAACAATTTATGGTTAAACATGAGCTCCCATAGTAAATACAGAAAAGCCAGACCTCTGGATAACAAGATATGTAAATGTCTGGTGAAATGATCCTGTTCACAGTGTATATGCTGCACACTTACACGTTGGCTCACTGAGCTGGGTTTCTGACAGCATTGCTGACAAGCTCACAAATGCCTTTGTTGTGACAGTTCCTCAGAAATCTCTGTGGAAGTGCAAGATCCACAGACATGGCAGCAAGCAGAATCAATTCACAGTTGTGGAATGAGTGTTTTCTAATGGTGCAAATGAAGCTAGAAAAACAACAGCACCTCTCTCTCACTCAATATATACTGTAATACATTTGCTTTGTGCTTGTCGTTTAACAGCCTGGGTTATTAAAACAAAATCATTTCAGTGCCACACAGAATATGTATCTGTACAACTCTTTAAATCACAGAATTTATAATCTCATTAAATTATTGTCATGTTTTTCCTGCACTCTTCCTAGTCTGTGTTTTCATTTTTTCAGTTTTTTCCTATCTTTCATTTTGATAGACACTTATTTATGTATATTTCTAGTGTCTTTTTGTTCCTTTTAGTCCACAGATCTGTGCTGTTCCTCAACTTCTCGAAACTTTGGGAAGTCCCAGGAGTGCATATGTTTGCAGTATCACATTTATAGCTCTGAAAACTATATTATTCTTTATCATTTCAGATATCTTTTAGAGGTTTATATGAGGTTTTGTTTTTTGTTACTGAGTTACTTCTGAAGAGTACAACTTTACTACACAAACTGTAATAGGTTCTTCATTTAGAGCTGCTTATGGAATTTGATTATGATTTTCTATGGTGCTGTAGACAGTATGGACACTCCTCTTGTTTTATTCTTACTCTGCCATGACATCTGTCTTTGCAAGTTGCAAGACCAGTTGCTAGATTGAGTACGCTAGATCAAGTATCTACATGTCACATACTCCCTGTACAAATTAGTGTAGTTCTGCACCTCTCAGGTCACAATGTGTTTCCTCTGTGAATTAATTTGCAGCAGTATTCATTACCTGTAATGGAAGTTTTAAAAGACTTATTGATAAAAGGTGTGTTTAGATATTTTTTTCTGTGTTTCTTATCTCTTACTTTTAAGAGCTATATTCAGTTAGTGCCACTGTTGACCAGTTGTCGCATATTTCAGTTTCACTTATACCTTACAAATAAGTATATGTTTACTGATTCAAATAATTCTTTCTCTATCTATGCTGTATATAGCAAAATCTGTAGCGTATATTCTATAAAGTAATACTGACTTTTCATTGTCAGTGTTACATAACTCAAGTTTAACATTATTTATTATTAGTTCCCTCCATTTATAGTCAGGGTGTATTCTGCCAGGCATTCCAACTTTTCATGGTTACAATGCTTTCTTTTACTTAAGTAACTCCAAATTAAATTCTAAATTACTAATGCAATGTTTGTGTTACATTAAATGAAGACAAAGTTGTGTAATAAGATATATAGGTGCTTTTTAAACATTTATTTTCTGTGATATGATAGATTCTGAATTCAAAATCAAATATTTGTATAAACTTCATGTGTACTACCCAGCTCAAACCATTTGAAACAGAACCTTATCAAGAAGCTTAAGTTTGGTCTTATGGAGGAGATTTCTTTTCATAGAATCAGAATGGTCTGGGTTGGAAGGGACCTTAAAGATCATCTAGTTCAAACCCCCCTGCCATGAGCAGGGACACCTTCCACTAGATCAGGTTGCTCAAAGCCTCATCCACCCTGGCCTTGAACCCATCCAGGGAGGGGGCTTCCTCAGCTTCTCTGGGCAGCCTGTTCCAGTGTCTGACCACCCTCACAGTAAAGAATTTCTTCCTAATATCTAATTTAAACCTACCCTCTTTCAGTTTAGAGCCATTACCCCTTGTTCTATCACTAGCTGCCCTTGTAAAAAGCCTCATTTTATAATTTATTAATTAGTATTGCACATATTTATTGATATTCTTAATTAGTAGTGTTTTTATCTTTAGTTTATATATTGCTTGTTCTTTGAGGTTTTTATATATCATGTTTAGTGCTATAATTAAAAAAACCCCTATATGTTTGTGGAACAGTAATGTCTCTGAGCTTTAGGTATGTACTAGCTTCTTGTTATGGTAACTGCTTCATAAACAGGGTGCAAAATATAATCCCTTTGACTTATCAGCCAGACTGCATTTATCGCTGTTCTTGTTGTTTGTATTGTTATCCTATTAAGTAAATTTGATGGAAAATGAAAGCAGGTATAAGCCACACAGTTTCGTTTATTTGTGTTTTATTGCCTTTTTTAGTAAATTCAGTGTTGTTACTAGTTTCTAGACTATTGCAACTTCTTTGAATCCTTGCTGTATTTGCAATTCCTTTATTTCAGTTGGTATAGACAGTAATTTTTATAGTGCTGCTATGGGACACTTCTGTCTTTAAGACAAAGGACAGTTTCTGAAATTGAATTGATTTTTCATACTTATGCAGGATGTGAAAAATCGACGAAATCCTCGTCTTGTACCTTATGCTCTTTTGGATGATCGGACGAAGAAGTCAAACAAAGACAGCCTTCGGGAAGCAGTCCGTACCCTTCTAGGCTATGGTTACAATCTGGAAGCTCCTGATCAAGATCATGGTAATTAATTTTGTTGTTTTGTTCTTCTCTCTCTCAAAAAAAAAAAAAAAAAAAAAAAAAAAAGAAAAGAAAATATTCCACTCCACTGTTGAATTTATGGGTCCAAGAAAACAATCTGAACAGGTGTGATGTCTCCAAAGCTCATAGGTGCTTTTCTCCATCTCCTATTGTTTATATTTCCCTTTGATCTTACTTTCCTTATTATTTCCTGTTCTTGTCCTGTGGCCTCAAATGAAGAATTACAAAATGAAACATTTTACATTTTAAATCAGTAATACAATTTATCTGTATTTCATACACTTCTTTTCACTATTCATTTTGTAGATTTGATAGCTCAGATAAATCAAAACTAAATCAGGACTGTGAATACTACAAGGCACAAACCTAAAATATGGAAAATCAGGGAAATAAGTTTATCATCTTGCTCAATATATGATCTTATGCCAGAGAATAAAATGTATAGTTACATTTTAAATATGTGAATAAATACCTGAAGTTCCCCAATCTAAAATTAAGTTCTTAATTAAAAACTTAATTACTCCTATATTTGTTATTTCAAGACAGAATAGCAAAATTGATAAGAAGATGATCATATGTAAATGCAGATGATATGAGTTTTATATTCCTACAATTTTAACTCTAAATAATAAAGAATTCTACAGTTCATGTACGATCATGTATTCAAACAATTAGAGATAAAAGATTAAATTTTCAAAGACAAATGCCTACAAACCAAATTTCTGTAAATGTCAAACTGCAAGTCTAGAATTAGACAAGCTTCCTGGACTTTCTCAGGTCTTTGAAGTTGAGTAGACTATAGGTAAATTTTAACTTACTTCTTACAAATGTTTTCGAATTTGCATTGTTGCCAAATTGAATATTTTATTGATACTATGAGCAGTATTTTCAGCATATGTAGTCTGAGACATCCTAAACAGAAAAAAATGGAAAACTATATAAACTTTACTAAAAGAAGTTTCAAAGAAATGGTACTTGACATTTTCCTCAGCAACTACAGAATATAAAATGTTAAGAAAGTAAATGAAAGCAGGAGACATAATAGACAAATAACATAAATTCTTTTATAGATTTTGAGTTTTAAAACAACAGTTTTCTGTTATGCTAAGATCAAACTGTAAGATGGAACATGAGAGGGACATTTTTGGCACTGTACAGTCATTCTGGAACACCTAACTGCACATATAGAAAGGAAATTATAACTTAATAACTATAAACCCTCAGCAACTATATCTTAGAAGTTCATTTGGAGATATGGAAATACGGAATAATCAAATCAAAATTGAAACTTACATCCTTGTAATGTCAGCAGAGTGTGGCAAATTTAAGAGCCCTCTAAAACCTTATCCTATCAATATATTGACTAATAAATGATTATTTTTCTGGCTTTATGTAGTGATAGCATTGTTAAATTTGAATCTGTTTGGGCCATAGACCTTCAGTAAAGTTTTTCTGCAGAAGATCTAACTTGTACGCAAACTGTACACAGGGAACTTTCCATTTCAATTTATTTTCCAAAGCACATAAATGCTGTGATCCTCAGCTTTTATGAGAGGCTGCTATTAAATTACACTTCTAAATACGAGGCATCACTGATAACATGAGTGTGTAACAAGGATGGATTGCTGAATGGGCAAAACAGTTTCCTGGTGGAACAAATTGTGTTGGTGGCAAAATGCCCCAGTCTCACTGTTAAATCTGCCTTTACCTAGTCTGGAGAGTTTAAGGCTGCTGCATAATCTTCTGCCTTTACCTAGTCTGGAGAGTTTAAGGCTGCTGCATAATCTTCTAATTTCTTCCCCTCCCACTGTGGGAAGGAGATGCTGCATAGAGGGAGCAAGCATGGCTTCTGCTTGGTTCCAAGAAGGTGGGTTGGCTGATATAGGAGGCTTTTGCCTCTTGTGGAGATAGAGGGGCTGTCTTGTGGTGTAGGGTGAGAGGGAGAGAGAGCATGCTCATCTTCCACAATCTCCTCCAAATTCCACTGAACAATATTAATACCCTTTCCTCATTTACAGCTCTGAGAAGTGTGTGTCCTTACCTTTCCTTGGGAATGAACTGCAGGAAAGTTTTAGTTTTTCTTATGATGCAGAGATCCTTGAATAGTTCTGTGCATGAAGTTACTAAGGAAATGTAAAGAACACAGTTGCAATACTTGCATCTGAAAGGTGTCATCAATCCTGTTGCAAAATTCCCAGAGGAAAGGACCTGCAGAACTATGTCCCACAAACTGGTGTTTCTTAAACAAAGACTGGAATTTCATTCAGCAAAAGATTCTTATACTCATTTTGAGGATTTAGATTTTACAGTTTGTGAGCCTCTCAAGTTTTTGAGATGCATAAAACATGTCATTGGGATCTCTCCTCTTATCAGCCAAAACTCATACTGTTATTAAAGGATTTAGAGCCCTCTAGTGGTGTTCTGCATCTCCATTCATTAATTTTATTTTAAACATTGATTTACAAAGCTCTATATAGTAATTTTTTATGCTTTATTATTATTATTTTTTACTTTCTGGTTTCCCACAGCATCTGTATTTTTGAGACTGCTTAGAATCTGTAAAGCACTAGTTTACTTAGAATCTAAATTTAATCTCAGTTCCCATGCTTTATGAGGGTTCATCTCCTGTATAGGTGAGGTACTAAGTGTCTTCAGAAGTGTTTTTAAGGAATTTATTGTGTAGACCATAAAAGAGAAAGTTTTACTGATAAAGAATTATGTGGCAGAGAGGTCAGAGTTGCTTACAAGCAACTTAATAAGCCTGACCTAAAAGCAGTCAGACACTTGGTGGCATAAGTGATAGTAAGTTCTGAGGGACCTAATTTTGTAGACTATTCAAGACAATATTAGAAATGTGGACCTTGATGTGAATGAGGAGAGAAAGTGAGTTCTTAACATGGTCTAACAAACGCAGAGAGAGGTGCAGACATATTTGAGCTTATGACAAACTTGGGAAGAGCAGGAATTACAATGATCAGACTGGAATGCTGATTTTTCAAAGGCCGCGCAGGCTTTAATACCTTGCAAGTTTGTTGAAAAAGGTCCAGAATGCTTTAGGCATTGTTTTTCCTAATCTGAGAAAAAGAGTCAGAGTGATCCCCAAGTTATGTGATTTGATGAATGGAAAGAAAATTGTATAAAATACCAGAAAATAGAGTAGTCGAGAAAATTTAAGAAAGAAAAATCAGGGTTATGATTCAGCGTCAGTTCTTGTACTTCGTGAAATCATTTTCATCTTTTTAAAGTGTGTTTTTTGTCATTTCAAGCTACCTTACGGTTTGAATTGATAGTAAGGTCTTGGAAAGAAGTGTCAGAAACAGACTATAGGACTGTGTAATAAGTAAGAAATAGTGAGGGAGGTTTGTATGTATTCACCATACAAGGTTGTACTTGAAGCTATTTTAGCAGAAGATACTACATAAAGAAAATGTGTAGAGCAGTGAAAGGCAGCTCAATGAGGGAAAACTTACTTATATACTGATATAAGATATTGAAGGAGAGGAGAAAGAAGATTAGAAGTGTTTAAAAGGATGTTAGGAGTTTTTGAGAACATTTACCATAGGTAGTAGGTGGATGCCACATAGCAGTAGATTTTTTTCAAGGCAGTATATTTAGTACAGTTAAGGAAAGAGGAAAAATGGACAATTAGGTAAGTCTAAGATTTCTGGATTTGTGAGTGACAGAAACAAAAGTACATTTCTATTGGAACAAGTTGATCTGGAATGGATGATGGGATAACACAGGAGAAGAGTGAAAGTGGGAGCAAAGGAACAGGATAACGCACAAGAGAATTGGGATGGATAAATGGAGGGAGGGATCAGAGCTTAGAGATCTAAGTCCAAAACTTGTTTGTTGTCAAGAAAAAGGGAGAAAATAGATTTATTACATGTCTCAAAGCCGTACATGTACCAGCATAATTTTTCACCCTTTAAAAATATTTGCTTATACATCCTGCAAATGGTATAAAGCAGAAATATGAGGCATAAACTAAGCTTGTTTCTACTGCTGTTATTGAGTAGACAGAATAAAATGTTTACATTTTTACCCTTCCCTTGAGTTTTTTTTTCTCCTTTCTTTGAAGCAGCCCAATAACAACCCAGCTTACAGTTTTTTCAGTATTTTTTATGCCATTATTCTTTCCTGAAGTAGAAGAATCAGTGAATACATTTAGAAGGAATAAGTTGAATGTGTCACAAGTTTAACTTTAGCCTCCTTTAAAACTCTTAGTGTAGCCATTTTGGTCTTTGAGAAAAGATACTTAAAATTCACTTTTTGTCAGGTAATTATAACTTAAACACTCTTAAACTAGCTTGTTAGGAATCACCCCCAATTAAGAGAATTTTGGAATGCAACACAGTAAGCTATGATAAGCACATGTTATCATGCTACAGATACTTAACAATGAATCAGTGTCTGTGAAAGCTTTTGTTTTCACACAGCTGTTAGTTTTAATTTATTTTACACTTTATTGCACTAGGTAAGAAATTTGAACAAGCTCTTTTTCTTTATCTCAGCTTGAAAATTGACAAACAGTAACTTTGAAGTGAGAACTGGCAGTTTTAAGGCACTTCATGACATCTTGTAGTCATCTGATTATCTGCTCAACAATTTGAGAGAGAATAAGGGAGAATAGTCAACACAGTTCAAACTTGGCATCTTGTTGGTTTTGTTATTTCACTGACTAAATAATATTTTCTGAATTGATAATGACTAGGTTTTCCTTTTTTTCTTGAACTGTAACTTGCCTTGCCTTGAACTGGAGTTGCCTTTAACACTACTTTTATACCCTTCTTAAGGTCATCTTTATGTTTTCCAGACTTGCTGCCCTTTAACTTAACAGAAACCAATATACTTTTTCCTGAAGCAGGGGTAAAATTCCTGTGGGATTTTTGTTGTTAAAGCTTCATGCAAGAATTCCTTTTATGATTCCTATCCTCCATTTTCCATTGCTTCTGCAAAAACATCTAAATTTCAACTTTCCT